TATAAATAACTTTTATTAGAAAGAAAATTCATCTTAATGTGTTTCAAATTGTGGGGATTCATATTTTGGAAATCTTGTAAATAGAAAGTGCGAAAAATGTGACCTTTAATGTAAAAAATGTGATGGACCGTTCTCTTATGATTGCTTAGAATGCTAATAGGAAGGCTTTTTTGTAGAAGAAGGAGTTTGTGTGAATTAATGTAGGAGTTCTTTTTATTTAAAAGGGAATGTGTGTTTGAAATGTGATGAGAAATGCCTATAATGTAGTGGAAATGAGAGTAATTGTAATTTATGTTTACCTTAATTTTACCTTATTAAATCTTTGTTTTCCTGCGTGGAAGTATGTCCAAGTGGATATTTGGTGGATGTGGATACATGTGTTGAATGTAGGGAGAATTGTGAGTTTTGTGCAAATTCCTTTTTTTATTTAAATGGGAAATGTTTAGAAGATTGTCCTATAGGATTTCAGGAAAATAAGGAAAGTAGAAAATGTGAAGAAATCGAAGGAATTGAATGTGAATTGAAATAGGATTATTTTAATTCTCAAAGTTTTTTTGATAATAAGAATTATGATTTAGTGTTTTTGGCAAATTCCTATTCAGATTTGATGATTGAGAAATTTGTATGGGAGATTTATGAATACAATATTAAAATTAAAGAAAAAAGTGTTTTATTTGATTAAGAAATTGTTTATAAAAGGAATGACTGCTTTATTATCGAGAAGGGAGTTCTATAAGGAAATACTTAATATAATGTTTAAGTTAATGTTTATTCGAAAAATAATTAATAATAATGCATTTAGAAAGTCAGTTTTAAAACTCCTGTATTTCTTTAATAAGGGAAGATTGAGTATTCTCTTTTAAGTTAGGATTAATTTTATGTTTAATATTAATTTATTATTTCTGAGTTTATTATTTAGAAAAAAGACAGTTTATTATTTGATGTCTATTTGGAAGACATTTAAAATAGTTCAAATGTTCTCTTTTTAAAGGAAAATAGTACTTTAGATTAAATTCCATTTAAATTTTAACAAAAAATATTAATTAGTTCTTAAAGTATAAGCTTTTTAGTAATTTGTGTCATAAAAGAAAAAAATGGAAGTTTTGTATAATTTAAAAGTGATATATAGTTGAAAACAGTAAATAGAAAATATAATCAATAAGACTTTTTTGATTATGCGAAAACCAATTTTGAATTTGAGAATTTGTTTCAAATAAATCAACTTTCGAATATTTTTTATTAGTCTTATAATGAAAAGTAATAAATATATGATAAAAAAATGCTTCTTTTTACAAATTTCTTTTCCACTTTCGACTCTATAAACGGGAATTTCGAGAACTCCTGTAAAAATGAATTTTTCTGTTAAAACAATAATGGAGAATGTCAAAGAAATACGTTTTTTTAATGCAAATGCAAGTAAAATTTTAAAGGAAAAAATTGCTAATATACTAATAATGAATATGAAATTATAAATAAAGCACTATCAAGTATTATTTCTAATCGTTTATTTATAAATAGTAATATTTAAATTCTTGAAATTATAAAGAATTTGTCTATATAAAGGGATATTCTTTCTATTTAATAAATTGTAGTTTTAACAAAGAAATTAAAAGAAATATAAATAAATTATTAAAATATACATATTATATAGTTTATTTTGGAAAACATAATGTATTAAATTTACACAGAGAGCATAAGTACAGAAATCGAAAAATAAATAATAGAATAAGCACTAATTTAATACGAACAGTTACTCAATTTATAAATAAAAAAACTTTAAAATGAAAACTAAATGTATTTCTTTTATAATTCCACATATTTAATATATGAAATAAAAAAAATAAACTAAACAGATACATTTTATTAAAAAACTAAATTCTTTATTTTTTAGAAATAAATTATAAATTTGACCCTTTCTAACCATTTACTGCATATAATTAATTCCCAGGCTCATTTAAAAAAACACTCAAAATAATTAACTATTTTAATATCCAAGAAGTTGACATTAATTAAATATAATAATAAATAATAATCTTACAAAAACCACTCTAATACCCCAGAATAAGCTCTTTGGATTAAATTTAAAACCCTCCATATCGTTGCTTATATTTAAAAAGACTATTAAATGAATGGAGTGAAGAAGGATGCTCATTTTAGGATGAAAATAATGGCTAAATATTATGTAAATGTAATCATTTTTCAACTTTTTCAGCAAATATAATCCCTTTTAATGTCTAAAATAAACTCTCGATTGATTAATTATTAATAGAAAATGGATGGGAGACCTTATAAGAGTTTTAAGACTAAAAAAAGAGTGAAAAAAAGACAAATTTTATATTAAAATTAGAAATAAAAGGGATTTATTTATAAATATAAAGTTTTTATGGAATTCTTGTTTTTTGTATAATTTTGGTACTTTTCTTTATATTTTTTTACATTTGTAATTTTAAATTGGAATATATAGATGAAATTAAAAGAAGGAAAAGCTACCACCCTTTATTTACAGTTTTCATAAGAAATAAAACATGCGAAAAATCAAAAAATATGAAAATTTGTAGAATTTTTGTATAAATTATTGGCATTTTTAGTATCAATAGTATTTTTTATTCTGGATAAATTGATAAATATTAACAATAATAGACTTTAAGTATATTTTTTGCTTCTTTTTTGGCTATTTATTGTTTAAATTTAATACATTTTGGATTTTTTTTGGTGTATAGTTTTTTTTTGGGTTTAAAATTAAAAAAGAGGAAAAATTTCTTGGAATAATAGCTTACTTTAAGGCATTTTAGGATGATTTTCTTTATTTTATGTGGCTTTTTATTCGCTTTTTGGGGATAAATATTATGTATTTGTGGAAGTTTAATAAAAAAAGAATTTATTTTAGAATGCTTTTTAAGTTCGTTATGTTCTATTGGATATGATTTATTAATTTTGGATACTTTAGTTATAATTTTTATTAGAATTCTGTAAAAATGTTCTATAAAAAATCTTTAATACAATAATTATTATCATAATTTATGAAAAAAAAAATGTTATTTATAAAAATAAATAAATGAAAATATAATTATTTTATTTATTATAAAAAATATCAACATCGAGAAGCATATGCGCTCTTAGTCATAGCATATTTAGGTAAATCAGCTAAAACAACAGGTAAATCATATGCACCGGGTCCTTATAATAATATATATATATATATATATATATATATATATATATATATATATATATATATATATTAGTTAAATATATTTACCTGGTGTTCTTATATGTTTTTATTAATCTCTTATTTCTGATCCGAATACCCATTTTGGACCTCTTGGATCTTTTTTCAGATTATAATATCCAGGTCCAGGAGCTTCTTTATACATATATAAATCTTTTCTTAATCCTGTTCCAATTCTTTTTTTTCAAAAAATAAATAAAAAAATAAATATAAATTTAAATTAACTTTGATGTAAAAGGTCTTCTTTTTGTCAAAATTTAATTAGGTTCATATGTACCAGGACCTGGAACTCTTATTTTTTCTAAATCTACAGGATTTTAGCTTACTACACCTTTAAAAGAAAGCTTTTAATTATTTTAATTTATATTTTAAATTTATGCTTTTATTTAAATACTTTAGGTCCGTCTGCTGTTTTTGGATGATATTCGTATTATCCAGGTCCAGGATTTTATTAAATATTATTTAAAGGTTTTCTTATATCAGTTCCAATTCTAATTTTGGAAGAAGTAACTCTACTTGCATCTATTTGAGGTTAATAACTTCCAGGTCCTGGATTATTATTTAAATAATTTAATAAAGAATCTCTACTTTATGTTCCAATTCTTTATATATAAATATATAAATGTTTATTTTTAAATTTACATAAATGAAGGTTTTTTATTTTTTATAATTGATGTGTCTTATTAATATTAACCTGGACCAGGAACTTAAGAAATATGTTCATAATTTTTTCTTGAAAACATAGTCTTTCCTCTACCTGTTTCCATAATAGGTTTTTATTCATAATGACCAGGTCCGGGTGTTTATTAAGTTCTATATAAACAATCTCTTTATTCAGATCCGAATTTAAATTCAGGAGCAGCTGATTTAGGTCTTAAATTATCATAATCTTTATATATAGATAAATATATATATATATATATATATATATATATATATATATATATATATATATATATATATTATTACTTCCAGGGCCAGGAGATATACTTTATTAATACAAATCGTCTCTTTTTTATTTTGAAAATACTACTGAACGTTTATATTTATTAAATACAAATGATTTTGATTAATATTCACCAGGTCCGGGAGTGAATACTCTTTCTTATGTATTATTTTTAATTCTCATTGAATATTAAGGTTGCCTTTTTTAAATTGATTTATTTATATTATAAGCGCCAGGACCAGGAACTAATTATTTTAAGAAATAATTTATTATTATTTTGTTTTGTTTTAAATTCAAAAAAATAACCTAATTAAAATGTGTTGCCGATTGGCTTTGTAGAATTTCCGATTGTATATTTAGAACCTTGATCCTTTTTAAAAATTTTGGAACGTTAAATAATATTAAATTTTATAAGAATTATCTTACAACATAAGTTTTTGTAGAGTATCTATTTAAAATAATATATATATATATATATATATATATATTTATTAAATTTATATATTGTTACTATCCTGGACCAGGATTTTAATTCGGCTTTTAATTTCCTCTGCTTTCAGATCCGATTCTTTATTTTTATTTATAATAATTTACTTTATTTATATATTTACTTCCATTTAGGAGGAACCATTATTTATTTTTTATCTACATTATATGCTCCAGGACCCTTTTTTTTATTTTTATATTGGATTTGATTTTTTTTAATATACAGGTATGAATTATTATCCTTAAGTAAAATCGCCTTTATTTTTAGTAAATATAATGTTTATTTATTTTATTTTACTTCTTCTTCCATTGCCTATTGTCCATGCGACTGACCAAGCATTAACCATATTTTATTTGATTCTAATTTTAATTAGTTTAAATTAAAAAAAAAAAAAAATTAAATTAAAAAAATAGTTTTTTTTTTTTTTTTTATATATATATAAAAATTGTTTATAAAATTAATATTTATGTATTAATGTTATATATTTTGTTAAAATAATAAAAGAAAATTTAAAAAAAAAAAAATATTTTATTATTGATAAATATATAGTTATTATTATTTTTTTTATTTAGTTAAATTAATTTTTATTTTAACAAAAAATATGAATATTAATAAAATATCACTTTTTAATTTAAGACTATAATTAAGAGAAGAATAAAAAACTTTAGATTAATTTAATAATGTTTATATACATATTAAGCATCCTTTCAGATTTTTTTCAAAAACATATAAAAGAATTAACTCTGATATTAAATTTGAGGATGAAATAAATGTAATAGGCGAATTATTTAACATTTATTTTTACGATTATGACTCTGATTCTTCAGAAGCAGTGTGTAATATAAACATGAAAATAAATTAAACTAATTAATTCAATGTTTATTAAGATAATATATTAATTGGATAATTACATTTTGATAAAAAATATATAATAGAAAGTTAAACAGAAAATTAATAAATAATAATAAATGAAAACTATATATAATAATTAAGATAAAATTAATAATAAAATTAAAATAATCTTTAAGGATATAATCAAACTAACTATTAATAAAATGATAGAAATTTATTAAAACAAAATATACAGACTGTAAATAAAATTAATATTTTAGGAAAAAGTTATAGTTAAAAAGAAAATTAATTAAATAAAATTAAAAATTGAAATTATGATAAAAATAAATAAAAAAAATATTTATATATATAAATGTATGAATAAATTATATAAATAATTAAAATGTATATAGATTAAAAAATAAAAAAATAAATAAAAAAATAAATTAATAAATAAATAAAAAAATAAAAAAATAAATAAATAAATATATTTATAATATATATATATATATTTATATATATATAATATAATTATTTATATTTTTGTATTTAATTTTATTAATTTATTTTTAAAAATATAATATATATAATTAAATAAAATATACAATTAATGATTGTATAAATTAATTTTTTTATTTTAGATAAAAAAAGATATAATAAATATTATTTAATTATGATTTTTAAAATAAAATATATATTTAGAAATTTAATATAAAATAATATTTAAAAAATAATCAATATTATTATAAGTATTTTCACAGATATTAAAAAAATGAGAAGAATAAAATTTATAAAATTAAATTTATAATCATTTACTATAATAATTTTTGTTATCTTAATAAAAATTATAAAATAATTATATAGTTAATATTACATATAAATATAAAATCAATTTATACATTAAATATAAAAAATATTAAAAATATGTATTATTTATATTTAATATTATATGTATTTTAAGATATAAAAGAAAAAATAACATTAATAAAAAAAAATAAAAATCTTATTCCTTTTACAAATAGTTTATATCTATTTTATATATTATATTTAATATTTTGAAATTCTAAAAAAAATGTAAATATATATAATATGCATTTTATAAAAATAATATTATAATTTATATATAAACATATATATAGTAAAAATTTATATATTTTAATTAATCTAATTATTAATCTAATTATATATATTATTATAAATATTATATAATATATAATAAAAATTAATTTTATTATATATATATAAAATAAAATTAAATATATATATATATACTTATAATTAATATATATATATATATATAGATAATATAATATACATATAAACTTTTCTGATTTGAATAAATTTTTTTATAAAATTATTTATCTATTTAAAATGATTAAAATTAAAATTATTCTAAAAAATATAAAGACAAGCTAATAAAGTTAATAAATATTAATGTGTATTAAATGCTTATATTTTTTTTGTTTACTTTATAATAATAAATTAATATTACCATCATTAATAAAAAAAATATTATTATTAAAATCATATTTTATAGTTTAATATAAATAAATTGTTAATATTATGAATCGTATATATATTATTTCATAATATTAATAAATCAATATTAATTTATATTTAGTTCTTTTATATTTAAAATAATTATTATTAAAAAAAAAATATAATCATATATAATATATAATATATAATATATAATATATAATATATAATATATATTAATTTTTAATTTTATTTTTTAATATTTAAATAATATATATAATTATTATATTTTCTTATTTTTTTTTCATAATTAAAATTTATCATTTAATCTTTAATTATTTATTTTTTGTAAATCTTTTTTAATATATTATTTTTTTATTTAAATTATTTGATTAGTTTAATATAATTATTATAGAATTTTTTTATTAACATTACTATACTAAATATCATGTTTTAATATTTTATTATATAGACAATTTTTGTAAATATATTATATTTTATATTTATTTTATAGAATTTTAATGTGGAT